AGGCAATAGTATTCATGACTTTGACTCAAGGCAGGATGTTGGTGGCAGAGTATAAAAAGCAATTCACTATATTGTCACGTTTTGCGAAGGCTTTTGTTTAAACTGATGAGGTTTCTGTAAGAAGTTTCAGTGGAGGTTAGCTTACCCTATACAGAGTTGACTCTCAGCCTTTAAGTTAAAGAGTTATGGACCTTGGTTAACAAAGTTTGGTTGTTGAAAAAGATGCAAAGGAATCTGAGGATGATGGGAGTCGTTCAAGAAAAGGAAGTTTGACATTGTACTTGTATGGGGGGGGGGGGGGGGGGGGGGGGGGGGGGGGGGGGGGGGGGGGGGGGGGGGGGGGGGGGGGGGGGGGGGGGGGGGGGGGGGGGGGGGGGGGGGGGGGGGGGGGGGGGGGGGGGGGGGGGGGGGGGGGGGGGGGGGGGGGGGGGGGGGGGGGGGGGGGGGGGGGGGGGGGGGGGGGGGGGGGGGGGGGGGGGGGGGGGGGGGGGGGGGGGGGGGGGGGGGGGGGGGGGGGGGGGGGGGGGGGGGGGGGGGGGGGGGGGGGGGGGGGGGGGGGGGGGGGGGGGGGGGGGGGGGGGGGGGGGGGGGGGGGGGGGGGGGGGGGGGGGGGGGGGGGGGGGGGGGGGGGGGGGGGGGGGGGGGGGGGGGGGGGGGGGGGGGGGGGGGGGGGGGGGGGGGGGGGGGGGGGGGGGGGGGGGGGGGGGGGGGGGGGGGGGGGGGGGGGGGGGGGGGGGGGGGGGGGGGGGGGGGGGGGGGGGGGGGGGGGGGGGGGGGGGGGGGGGGGGGGGGGGGGGGGGGGGGGGGGGGGGGGGGGGGGGGGGGGGGGGGGGGGGGGGGGGGGGGGGGGGGGGGGGGGGGGGGGGGGGGGGGGGGGGGGGGGGGGGGGGGGGGGGGGGGGGGGGGGGGGGGGGGGGGGGGGGGGGGGGGGGGGGGGGGGGGGGGGGGGGGGGGGGGGGGGGGGGGGGGGGGGGGGGGGGGGGGGGGGGGGGGGGGGGGGGGGGGGGGGGGGGGGGGGGGGGGGGGGGGGGGGGGGGGGGGGGGGGGGGGGGGGGGGGGGGGGGGGGGGGGGGGGGGGGGGGGGGGGGGGGGGGGGGGGGGGGGGGGGGGGGGGGGGGGGGGGGGGGGGGGGGGGGGGGGGGGGGGGGGGGGGGGGGGGGGGGGGGGGGGGGGGGGGGGGGGGGGGGGGGGGGGGGGGGGGGGGGGGGGGGGGGGGGGGGGGGGGGGGGGGGGGGGGGGGGGGGGGGGGGGGGGGGGGGGGGGGGGGGGGGGGGGGGGGGGGGGGGGGGGGGGGGGGGGGGGGGGGGGGGGGGGGGGGGGGGGGGGGGGGGGGGGGGGGGGGGGGGGGGGGGGGGGGGGGGGGGGGGGGGGGGGGGGGGGGGGGGGGGGGGGGGGGGGGGGGGGGGGGGGGGGGGGGGGGGGGGGGGGGGGGGGGGGGGGGGGGGGGGGGGGGGGGGGGGGGGGGGGGGGGGGGGGGGGGGGGGGGGGGGGGGGGGGGGGGGGGGGGGGGGGGGGGGGGGGGGGGGGGGGGGGGGGGGGGGGGGGGGGGGGGGGGGGGGGGGGGGGGGGGGGGGGGGGGGGGGGGGGGGGGGGGGGGGGGGGGGGGGGGGGGGGGGGGGGGGGGGGGGGGGGGGGGGGGGGGGGGGGGGGGGGGGGGGGGGGGGGGGGGGGGGGGGGGGGGGGGGGGGGGGGGGGGGGGGGGGGGGGGGGGGGGGGGGGGGGGGGGGGGGGGGGGGGGGGGGGGGGGGGGGGGGGGGGGGGGGGGGGGGGGGGGGGGGGGGGGGGGGGGGGGGGGGGGGGGGGGGGGGGGGGGGGGGGGGGGGGGGGGGGGGGGGGGGGGGGGGGGGGGGGGGGGGGGGGGGGGGGGGGGGGGGGGGGGGGGGGGGGGGGGGGGGGGGGGGGGGGGGGGGGGGGGGGGGGGGGGGGGGGGGGGGGGGGGGGGGGGGGGGGGGGGGGGGGGGGGGGGGGGGGGGGGGGGGGGGGGGGGGGGGGGGGGGGGGGGGGGGGGGGGGGGGGGGGGGGGGGGGGGGGGGGGGGGGGGGGGGGGGGGGGGGGGGGGGGGGGGGGGGGGGGGGGGGGGGGGGGGGGGGGGGGGGGGGGGGGGGGGGGGGGGGGGGGGGGGGGGGGGGGGGGGGGGGGGGGGGGGGGGGGGGGGGGGGGGGGGGGGGGGGGGGGGGGGGGGGGGGGGGGGGGGGGGGGGGGGGGGGGGGGGGGGGGGGGGGGGGGGGGGGGGGGGGGGGGGGGGGGGGGGGGGGGGGGGGGGGGGGGGGGGGGGGGGGGGGGGGGGGGGGGGGGGGGGGGGGGGGGGGGGGGGGGGGGGGGGGGGGGGGGGGGGGGGGGGGGGGGGGGGGGGGGGGGGGGGGGGGGGGGGGGGGGGGGGGGGGGGGGGGGGGGGGGGGGGGGGGGGGGGGGGGGGGGGGGGGGGGGGGGGGGGGGGGGGGGGGGGGGGGGGGGGGGGGGGGGGGGGGGGGGGGGGGGGGGGGGGGGGGGGGGGGGGG